CTTTCTTGCGAAAGGGAGGCGCCGCGCGACTCGGCACGCCACCACCTTGCTCGCCGATCCACTTGATCGACTCCTGCTTCTTTCCGAGCTCAATTGCTTGACGCATGGTCGATTTCAAAATGACGGCCCAATGCTAAGGTGTTTACAGTGGCCTTTTATTTGAAGAAGTTTTTTAATTGAAGCGGTCTTTTATTTCTAGAACATTGTCGAAAATTCGATGGGGGTTTGTAATAGTAAAAGGTCTTCTATTCGTAAAAATCCGTTAATGAGCCAGTAAATACTTCTTTTCGCTCCGCAATCGCGAATGTGACCAGAGAGCAATGCATATCTGTCGCTATTGCAGTAACCTGTAGCCGATGCAAGCGATGGACGCTAACTCTCCGTACATTTACGTTCGGATTGTAGACGACGTTAAATGACTGAAAGTAAAGCCGTACAGATAAGCCATTTAACGTGGCACGTTTGCATTTTTAAGTCTCTGAGTTACGTTTCATGCATATTGCTGGATTTGCCCAGATGTTTCAAATTTTATGCGTATCAAGAAGCCAATTGACCGAATCGAAGGATCAAAAGTCAGCTTTCAGAGCAGGTGAGCGTTTGTGGTACACACCACCTAGTTCACATTCCCAAAACTATACACTGCAACAATTTATCCAGTAGTCAATATCGAAAGTGCGCAACCAAAAAGACGAAACTTTATCAGTGAGTGGGCAAAGTTGAACCACAAGCACAACCATGTCTGTCAGGTTTTGAACGCGCTATCGACGACGTATGAATAGCATGCTTAATGGGCTTGGTACGTATTCAGTTTGTAAGTCTTATTCCATTTCATAAGAAGTGCTTGTTTATCGTGTCGGTATTGAGAAATATCAGACAGTAAACACTGTATCACCTAATCACATGTGAGCAAGCCACTTTGCCTCGAATGGCAGCATTATTTGAGTTTGCGATTATTTTGCTCAATCGAGCGAGCCGTAACCTTTGCAGATATGTTAAATTCATTTAGACCGATCGACAAAAATAAAACATTTTTACATTGTAAATGAGATCTGCGCAGGCCGACGCTTTGAAAGACTATGTTTGGCTATCATAGATGCGGAGGTCCTTGACTTGAGTGAGCTCTAGTAGTGTAAATTCGATAAGGCTTCCTTCACCACATATTTCCTTCCTGCGTCTACTTGAATTATCAAATACGATGCAAGCCTTGTTGTTGTCGACGAGGAATCCCAGGACATGCTGAACTCGAAGGCTGTGAGAAAGTCAAAAGACCAGATGCACCAAAAAAGTAACAATTTATAAGTCGCTCAGAGACCACACGCAGCAGACTTGTATTATCGAGGTCAAGCCTGATTGAGCCAGTGTTTGGAATCGAGAAGGAGCTAATGAGACGAGGGCCGGAGGAAACGCTGCTCGCAAGGGTCTCAAGAAAAACATGTGTTGGAATCAATCAACCTAATTTAGGACTGAAGATTGCGGCCAGAAGCGTGGAGATGGCATAAGCTCTATATATGTAGCTACCACAGCACTGTGTAATACGAAGATAAGTACACGCAGGCCTATAGAAGGCATGGAGCTATGGATGCGGTATATAAAGCTACGAATAGGGCTTCTCCACGAATGC